TAAAATGTCAAATTGCACACCAGCGTGTTCAGGTTCGATTCATTTCAATGGCACCTAAAAACCCGGGGCAATTTTACTTCAATTGTCACACAACAAATTGCGCTGCAAATGCGCAAACCAAACCGTAAAAAACCTTCAGCCTTTTCAACCACTTTAATCATATCTCAACTCTCTCCCAAGATGCAATGTCAAAAATTCCACTTTCTCCCAGCAAAAGTTTCAACTTGTTCCACATTGTGGAGAACAAATTGAAGGAGAGTGACACCATCATTTGATTGTAATGGTCATGGCAGAAGAGCGTAGCTCAGAATTGCGATTGGGATGTCTCATTGATAGACTGCAGAGAGGTAGACAAAAGCTTTTAGCCAGACCAGAAAGACAGGGAGATCAGACTACATACATTGCAGATTAATTAAGAGAAGGACACTCCCTTATATGAAATTCCCCAACATGATAATCAAAGTGATCCTATCATTAAAATGTACCTCCCCCAACCTGTGCCTGGACAAAGAATCAAAAGCAGCACGGCAATAGGCTCATCTTTCTGTAACTCGGATTTCTTTTTCTATCAGCATGCTCCTTGTCATCACATGACCTGATTGTACTGGCCTTTGCTGTACAGGGACTAAAAGAGACTGACAAGGCAAATTCAGATACTCATTCGGCTTGCCTTTAAAGGTACATTCAAAGTGGTTGTGAAGGTTGAAGGTGTTTTACCTTCATACATTCAATGCATGAAGGTAAAAAACCTTGTGTGTGCTGCTCCCCCCACAGCCCCCCTATTATTCTCCTGAGCCCCCTCTTGATGCAGTGATATGCATGGGAGCTCAGCTGTTTCGGGTCTCCATCTCCTCATTGGCTGAGACACAGCAGCAAGAGCCATTTGATCCCAATGCTGTCAATCACAGCCAGTGAGCCAATAAGGAGAGAGCAGGGGCGGGGCTGAGTTGCAGCTCTATGTGTCATATGGACGCATAGAGCGGAGCTCAGAAGCGAGCATGCACCAGTGCCCCCATAGGAAGGTTTTCTATTGTGGCACTGGTCAAGGGGGAAAAGTCAGGAGCGCAGGCGGGGGACCCAAGAAGAAGAGGATTGGGGCTGCTCTGTGCAAAATTACTGCACATAGCAGGTAAGTACAACATGTTTGTTAGTTAAAAAAAACACACAACCTTTAATATCATTTTAAAGGGGAACCTAGGGGGTTAATCCTCTGCATTGTGTAAGAAGACCATGTGATCTGTTCTGCTCCTCCTCTTGTCCACGTCTTATCTCCTTATGAGACAGACTGAACTGTAGCCATTCTGCACATGCTCAATTTAGTGTGTATTGCTATAGAGGTTTTTTTTTTCTTGGGAGAGCGCATGTCATCAGAGCCAATCAGCACTGTCCAGACAGAGGTCAGAGGTTTTGCATCCTCCTAGAGCAGAAAGAAAACTCCTCCTACAAGCTTTAACCAGTGCTCAGCTGAACACTGATAGAAGTCAGAAGACTGCTCTAACTGCTGATGAGAAAAGGTATTTAGCAGTTTATATTTACTAAAATAATTGCATTTCCATGTTGTGTGTATTGTGGCAGACCAGATATAGTGAATACAGCGTCCTGGGAGACCAGATATAGTGAATACAGGGTCCCTGGGAGACCAGATATAGTGAATACAGGGTCCAGGGAGACCAGATATAGTGAATGCAGGGTCCGGGGAGACCAGATATAGTGAATGCAGGGTCCTGGGAGACCAGATATAGTGAATGCAGGGTCCGGGGAGACCAGATATAGTGAATGCAGGGTCCGGGGAGACCAGATATAGTGAATGCAGAGTCCTGGGAGACCAGATATAGTGAATGCAGGGTCTGGGGAGACCAGATATAGTGAATGCAGGGTCCGGGGAGACCAGATATAGTGAATGCGGGGTCCGGGGAGACCAGATATAGTGAGTTCAGGGTCCGGGGAGACCAGATATAGTGAATGCAGGGTCCGGGGTTTAGTAACACTTTAAGGATGTATTAATCCTTAATCTTAGATTGTAAGCTCCAAGGAGCAGGGCCCTCCTAACCCTCTTGTATTGATCTGTATTGTTGCTGTATTGACTCCCTTTATATTGTAAAGCGCTGAGCAAACTGTTGGTGCTATATAAATCCTGTATAATAATAATATTAATTAAATACAGAGCTACATTCACTTGTCTTTTACATCTGTCTAGAGTTTAGCTTTAGGTTTCATGCACACTGAGCCTTAAAAACTATGCTTTTTGAGACATCTGGCGTTTTTTTTTTCTTCCTCTAAACGCCTCTTCATGTTAGCCTATGGATCCATGCACACATAGCCATTTAGAGGGAAGAAAAAAGAGAGCAACAGCATTTTGGCAGAAAAAAACATCTGACAGATGTAAATGCGTATAACAGGGGCGGACTGACCATTTGAGCACTCGGGCACTGCCCGAGGGCCCGGGGTCAGTAGGAGGCCCCATGAAATGCCCCTGGTACCTTTCATAGGCTTTTTTGGGTGTACTTTGAGTGTGGGCAAGGACACAGGGGCCCCATGATCCCCTATTGCCCGGGGGCCCCATGAGTTGTCAGTCCGCCCCTGGCGTATAAACATGTCTAAATGAGTGTTAACGATAGACAGGTCAAGTGCTCAGGGCTGTGGATAAGGGGGTACCACCAGTCCTCCTGTACAGGGCCCAGGTCAGCAGGGGGGCCCAGGCAGCTGGGTGAATCAGATGAGGGCAGGAAGAATTATCGGCACGGCGGGGGCAATCACTGGAACCGAACCCCTGTATGGTTTTCTCTGGACCATATGAAAGCTGGCTTCATCTCCTCTCCCTCCTGCTGGCTTTCAGCTGCTGCAGAGAGAGCCATACAAGTGATCAGTTCCAGTAATTGTCCCTCCCACCCATCACCCTCCGTGTGCACCATACATTTCCACCTGTGTGTCCTCACCCCTGCATTGCATCCGGCTTCCCTCCTGTCCATCCCACCAGTAGCTGTAAGCACACAATAGGATCCCTCAGGATGGAAAGTGGGGGAAGGGTCCGGTAAAAATGTCACATTTACTAGCTGCTTCCTTTCCTGAATGAACACAATGAATGATTGGTACCAATCACTCACTGTGTGCATTCATATCTGAAGTATCGTAAAATGTGTTTTCTTGGGGGGCGGGACAGGACCCTGTTAGGTTGGCTGTATGGGGCCCCGTGGTTTGTAACAGCAACCCTGCAAGCGCTTGAGTGTTAATTCATTTCAATGGCCAGAATAAATGATTTCACTGGCCAATGAGATGAATTGACACCTAAGCGTTTGATGCACCTAAATGTGCTTACACACATTTACACACATCAAGCGTTTTTTCTACCAAAGTGCTGCTGTCAGGGGGAAAGGAGTTTAGGAGAGGTGGGCGAACGCCCTGCATGTATGGGGCCTTATAAAACGCCTACTCCTAGATTGTAAGCTCCGAGGAGCAGGGCCCTCCTAACCCTCTTGTAGTGAACTGTATTGTTGCTGTAATGTCTCCCGTTATATTGTAAAGCACTGAGCAAACTGTTGGCGCTATATAAATCCTGTATAATAATAATAATAATACTGGTACAATAACTTATTGGAAAATATTTTAAATCTTGTTTATAAACTTGTAAACCTTAAACAATACAGATTGAACAAAAATCATTATCGTGTCCCTTTAACAATCAAAAATTTGAAAAGGGAAATGAATACGTCTACAGGTAATACAGAAAGAGTTAAAGGAAATCCCCCAATATTTTAGGTCTCTGCTTTTAATAGAAGTTGCTGCGCCATTTATTTCATCTTCATCATTTTGTATCCATTACGGCGAGTTTCTCAAGTCATTTGCTTGTCAGTTGCTGGTAGAAGGGGTAATTTGTTGCTGGAGGATGGAGGATGACAGCCACCCCCTTCGCTGTGGGTCTGCAGTTTTCAATTCTCCTCCTGCTGATAGATGAAGAGATTGTTTCTTGTTGATCTTTCTCCTCCAGTTTCGTGTTTATACAATGTCTCTGTGTAAGTCCTGGGTGGAACTCGGTCTGCGGGATCTTCAGGGGGTCATATCAGGATACTACCTTGCCACCTGCGTAAAGAGAGAAAATCCTCAACCTCCTGGGGTCATCATAACTCAAAGATAATTTATTTTAGAATTCCTTCAGATTTTCATTGCCGTGTCCTGAAAACAATCACATGTATTAAAATTGAACTCCAACAATGTTTTTTTTTTTGGGGGGGGGGGTAGAGAATGGTTAAAAGCTCTATCAATACTTAATGCTGATATGCAAGGGATCCTGGTAAGCTAAAAGGTAGATAAAAGTGCAATTTACAGAAGAATATGAGTACATTTGTTTAACACATAAATGGATTAATAGACAATCTTTTTATACGTCTAAGCTGGCCATAGATGGGTAGAATTTTGAATGAAAGTCTTGGGAAAATAAGGTTCTAAAGCCTAGTGCACACTATGAGAAAATCAGACAAATGATCATCCGATTGTCCACGAAGACACCGCAGTGTTTGTGCTGAGAGCGCGCCGTGCTATGCACTCCCAGCAGAAAGCCAGGTACGCAAATATGCGGCCCTACGGAAAAAAGCCCAGTTCTGTGAGGCCGCACATTTGTGTTACGTCAGCGTCAAGGGGTTAAGGACACCTAAAGACCCCGTCCTGGTTGCATTGTTGAACTAGTTTATTGTTTGTTGTTTATGTCGCTGTTACGTTATTTATTTTATTTTGTATATAAAATGGCTGCTGTGGTAAACCCATGTCACGCAGTCTGTGCTATTATTTGAAGGTTTAGTAGAAAGACCGAATCCTTTAGTCCTGCCGATTCCTGTTCTGCCTCTGCAGTGTTCTGTGCTGCTGTAGCTGAGTAATAGCCACACCTCCTTACACAGACTTGCATTGCAGTAGAAGAGAGGGGGCGTGTCCAACCAGGTCTGTTATTTAAATAATAAAATGACAATTGGAAATTTAAAAAAGGCCAATTACTTTATAGCTAGCATAATTAAAAGCGGAGTTCCACTCGACCTATCAAAACATAAAAGTCAGCAGCTACAAAAACTGCAGCTGCTGACTTTTAAAAAGCAGCCACTTACCTGTCTCTCTGTCCCGTGGTGTGTCCCCTGCAGCTCGTTTCACTAGCCGTCCTGTATTCCTGCAGGCCAGTATCTTCAGTGTGTGCACCCGGCTGTGATAGCTTGCGGCTTCACAGCCGGGTGCCCACTGCGCATGCGTGAGTAGCACTGCGCTTCATGAATGGTCCTGTAGTCTTCTGGGGCCTGTCATGTGTCCCAAAAGACTACAGGGAGGAGGGGGGAGGACACCAGAAGTGGGAGCGGGTACCTGTCAAATTCAAGTACCCGCTCCCCAAAGGTGCCAATCCTTAATGGGGAGTGGGGGAGCAGTCCTTAAAGCGGAACTTCCCCTTTTGGGTGGGAAGAAAAAAAGTGCCCCAGCACCCTTATTTAGTTATTTATTACAGGCATTTAGACAGCCCCGAAAATTTTACATAGTTCTTTACATACTGTACATTCACAGTAGTTCCATGCTCTTAGGAAGCTTACAATTTAATGTTCCTATCCCCCCCCCCCCCACATACTAGGGCCAGCTAAAATTACATCTAGGACAATTTGTGCATCAAAACTTCGAAAAGAAACAGAGCTTCATCTGGTATGCGGATGGGATCGTAATGACGCTCATGTTTAATGAGAGAAACTACGCGCCTCATTTTATTCGGCTACTTTCCATATTCCCAGAACTCATTTAAATGCGGGCACTTCAAAGGAAATGTGTGGCAGTTCAATAATAAAACGCTAGATTTACCTCTAGAACTAATCATTTTTATAACCGTGCTAAAGTATTATGTTTAAGGTCAGTACAATGAGATCGTGGCCTATTAAAGACAGCCCTTTCTTTGTCATGTGTTACTATTTTTTATTCTCCTGGTTGGCTCCGGTGCATAGCTTGGATAGAATCTTATGTTCCACAAAGTTTTCAGGTTTCAGGAAGAACCTGCCTGTGATATAATGCTGCTTCTCAGGATGTAGACTAACATTTACACACAATGTAGTTCCAGCCAGCAGTGACCTTGGCCACCATTCATTTGAAGAGATTCCATATAAAGCGAACTCCAAGCAGACAGAAAATACATAAATAATGCAGTTCTGTATTCACTACGAAAAGGTCATACATTTATACAGAAATTAATGGTTTTTTTTAAAGCAAGTAATAAGTAAGAGTCTGAATTTAATTTTCCATCAGGCTCTTACAGACCTTGTACAGTAGGGCTCGGGCCAGGAAAGAGAGAAGCAGCACAAGGAGCCAGTCAGTTGTGCTGCAGTGCATATTTGCCAACAACGAGCCTGCTGATAGGAGGAGAGAACAGAGAGACTGAGAGGTGAGCTCATTATTCTGCTGCTTTCCCCTTCACTGTCTGGTCAAAGGCTGTTTAAGGGGCAAGACATGGCTATTTTACTTAAAGCTAAATTTCACAAACTCAACTCCTTTGTTAAAAGTGAAGGCACACTATGAGTTAAGTCCAAGAAGGTGCATGACATCTCCTGAACTTATCTCTATTATTTATATCTGACAGGTTTACAGTGCTCTGGAAGACAGCTATTTGCTGTATTTCTGGGAGCCTGAAGCCAATTCTTAAGGTCTCAGCATCTTCAACAGCAGCTGCAGTTGCTATGCCTGCCTCCCCACCTCCTGCCATTCAAAGAAGCCTTTGTATTATGTGAACTCATTCACAAAATACAAAGGCTTCTGTGAATGGGCAGCAGAGGAGAGGGGTGGGCATAGCGTGCCTTTCTCCTCTGTCACAGCCCCAAGCATATCAAGTGTATCTCTAGCAGAGCCATATACCTGTCAAATATAAATAATAGAGATAAGTCCAGGAGATGTCATGCACTTCCTTTGACTTACTTCATAGTGTGCATGCACTATTTAACAAACTGAAAATTCAGCTTTAACATAGTATTAATCCCTCAACGTTTTTAACTTAACACATTGATCACAAGAAAATAAACATTCTGCAGTAAACTATTTGTTAAAATTTATACAAGAGCATTTGCAGGTTTTACAACTTTCAGTGCTGCTGGCTCCTGCTCCCTCAGTGCTGCTTCCCTGGACTTCTAGTCTTTGCAGAAAAGAGTTAACAGTGGACAGTGCAGTCTCCAGTTAGTCTGTTAGCTTAGAAAAGTGAGGAGGAATTTGCAGTGGAGTGCCTTGCCATCCTAGACTAAGGGGCTGTGTGTTTCTATTGATGTAGGGAGTTGCAACTCCATTAGATGATGCAAGAGTAAATAGCTGCCCTGAAACATCCATAATGGTACCAGCTTAAACTGGAAAAAGGCAAGGATTAGAAGACATAGCTGCATACTCAGTAAGTAATTAAATCAGCTGTTGAAAGTTGCAGGTAGGATCTCTAGACTGAATGATCCAGACAGCCGCACTCCAAAAATCTTCACCTTTTTTGGATACACACTAAAAGCATTTTCCAGCAGCTACATAGACACTGTGAGGGCTGAAAAAGGAGTCAACGCGTTTCGTACGATCATCATCATCAAGATCAGCATTATTAAGTGCTGAGGCAGCACAAAACTCGTCAACCCTTTCTTTCTTTTACATTGTATCCAATAAAGGTGAAGATTTTTGTAGCGCAGCTGTCCAGATCATTCATTCTATATGGCTTCAGTGGAGTGAAAGGAGTGTGGAGGTGAATGCTGACAGACTTACCTGGAGCAGTGGTACAGACACTCACTGGCCACTTTATTGAGTACACCTTGCAAAGTAACGGGTTGGAGCCCTTTTTGACTTCCAAACTTCCTAAATTCTTTGTGGCATAGCTTCAACAAGGTGTTGGAAACATTCCTCAGATATTTTGGTCCATATTGACTTGAGTTAGTGTTGCCTTTCTATCATCTCCAACCAGTCTGCCCATTCTCCTCTGACTTCTGACATCAACAAGACATTTTTATCCACACAACTGCTGTTCACTGGATATTTTCTTTTTTTTTGGACCATTCTCTGTAAACCCTAGAGATGGTTGTGCGTGAAAATCCAGTAGATCAGCAGTTTTTTAAATACTCAGACCAGCCCGTCAGGCAACAAAATCGATAGCATGGCCAAAGTCACTTAAATCCCCTTTCTTCCCCATTATGATGCTCGGTTTGAACTTCAGCAAGTCGTTTTAACCACATCTAGATGCCTAAATGCACTGAGTTGCTGACAAGTGATTGGCTTATTAGCAATTTGTGTTACCAAGCAATTGGACAGGTGTACCTAATAAAGTGGCCGGTAAGTGTACAGGTAGTTCAACAGTACCTCTAGGGGGTTGTCAATTCAGGAACACAGCACTGCAATGCTTCTGCACCAACTACTAAGCCATCATGTTTTTTGTCCAAAGCTCCTTCTGAACAAATGTAACAATAAAAAAATAAGTAACGAGTTGTTGGCGTGACCTGACATTCTATCTGGCATAGAACAGATGAAATAATTTATAACTTAAATTCTCCATGCCATTTTGTTTCAATAGAAGACATTAAACCTACCAGCAAAAGAGAGAGAAAATTGCCATGGCTGTTCTGTGCCGATAAGCTTATTGCATTGTTCTTCTCTGTGGGAGAAACATTTTCCGAAAGCGCCAATCTGGTATTTTAAGGTCAATGGATATTTATGTTGTGAGGAAGGCAAAACTTCTTAGAAATGTGTTTTAAATTATAGTGACACGGCCGAGAAAGAACCAGACTTATCTTTCGTTTTGTTAAAGTTCAGCAAACGAAACAAAAGTTAATAAAGGCTGGTATATAAAATATGTTCCCTTCTCCATGATCAAACTAATGCTGGTCAAACACAAAAACATTTTGTCCAGTAGAGTGAAGAGTTTGTTCTTGCAGTGTCTGGGGGTTTGGGTAACAAAAACAGGAATGCATAGTCTTTTCAATGATTTTCAGATACTTAAAGGCCAACCAAAGGCCCCCACCCCCCACTGTGCTCCCCACAGTAGTATTGTTGCTTCTTATATATACTTGTAGGAAGGTGCAGCGTGATGAAGTGGTATTAAAACAGAAGTCCAGCAAAAACAAACAGGCCTTCGGGAAAATCCACCCAACCAGCATTCACAAGTCGTAACAGCAAAGCAGCAGTAGCAGAGTGGTAGACCAAAGATGCCGACAGTGTCTGTCTCAAGCAGCGGAATGCGGCCTGTCCAGTCTAAATAGGGAGGGTTCCAGGAAAGATGGTGTGTCCCTGTATTTTCCCTACACCTCTGGAACCTTTCCCTGATGCTTAGCACTGTCCCTGACAGATGGGTGACCTGTCCCTACTATAGACACTTGCAAAATTCATACCAAACCTGGGAGCCAGACTCTGCCTGACCAAAGATGGCCACAAGAGCCACATGGGGTGCCAGCATCCAATCGGATAGCTGCCTCCTTGTGGCTAGGTTCCTCTCGATCTCCTCCTCCACCTGCATTGCCATAGAGTGCACCTGTTTTCATACTTACCTGTTCCAAAGACTTCAGGCCATACACATGAGGCCGCAGAGTTCCTTTTCTCTTCTCTGTGCTGGGCAGTTCCCAAAAAAGCCAAGACTGGCACTGATGGGATGACATCAGCAGCATTCTGCACCATTATAATACAAGGTGCAGCAGTGATACTCCTCATGGGTGGGACTATAACACTCTGTACTCACAGTATGTCCTCAGTCTTCTGGGTCCTGAGGATCACTCAGCCAGAATATCTTTTAGAGAAGAAGATGTGCTGTAGAGGATAGCTCTGTACTGGAGGTGAATACTGCAGTTTAAGCTGCTTTAAAAAAAAATTGCTAGGGACATTTTAAAAGAAAACAAAAGAAATTTAGCTTGGCGTTGGATTTTAAAGAGATCATTTCGATCTCAATGTCTTCTAATACATGGAATTCCTTATTGTTAGGTATAACTCGTACATTTTACTTTACCTCGAATTGGTTTTCTGATACTAATTGAAAACAATAGTCTCTTCATGGTTTGGCAGCCAGTGGCTGTGTGAACTAGACTGACTATTCCACAGGCTAAGCAACTTCAGTCTGTTATTCATGGCCAGCAAAGGGTACTTTTTTTACTAAAAAGTGGTTTTTATTTGGTAATTCTAAAAATGTGATCAGTTCAGGTGTCATTTTAATAATTTGTCCACTTTAACCCTTTTCTTGACACTTCTCAATGCAGGGAATAATGCCGAGAGAATGTTAATCTACATCCTGTATTAGGAGAGTGTAGCTGATCATGTGATCACCTTGACATGGTGATAACATGGGTTTGTTTACAAACAAACCAACCAGCTTCAGCTATT